CAGTCATTTCTGTGTGAATATAAATATATTTAACAAAAATCTCATGCGTGGCACTACTGGTGGCTGTCTATGCTTATTTTAGATCCAAAATATATTACAGGCAGGATTTTTTCATAGCTATTTCTGCATATATATTCTATATGGATTTTGTGAATGATCTGAGCCAGGCTGGCAGAACAGACTGCTGCCTTTTCCACCCGTGGCACTGAGACAGAAAAAGTGTTCATACCAAATAGGAAGCTACACAGGATTACTGGCTACCATTAGGTTTAACAAATTGCTAACGGTTTTCAGGTCATATTATCAGCTTGGGATGTAGGTAGAATTTAGATATCTGGATTCTATTGAAAGTGCCTAAATCTTTACTTAAATTTTGTTCCAAATTCTTCCTTTGAGGAAATTTGAGGTCTGCACAATTCTTAGACATGGGATGAGGACTCAAGAAGCCAGTGAACTTTTGGGACTGACACATTCTAAGGAGAAGCATAAGTACTCATACTTGGAGTGTGGCAACACAGGCAGGGAGAGAGAGCTGATCCCTGTGTATAAAAATCTCAGGACCAACAAAAAGGCCCACTTATTTGCATAGAAATTCTAAATCCTCATCAATTTAATGGAAGCCTTGTGTACTCGTGAATTGTTGGCCAAGATACAGACTGGAAAAGTTCCCAAGAAGTGTTTCATTACTTGTGTGGGTGTGGGGAAAGTGTTATAATTCTTCAACGATATCTGAGTAGTTATGTTTCTTTATCACTTTCTAAGCCAAAGAACTATTTTTAAATTGAATTAAAAATTGCTACTTATGCAGTTATCTTGTGGATACTCTCCAAAACAGCATTTCTGTAGCTATCTTGGGTCAGAACAGCATGATGAATCAGCATGAAAACACCACCAGTTCAAACACAATTAATTCCCTTTATTTTTCATTCCCCACTAAGATGTGGTTTGTATCCATCCCTCATAATTCACTCATGTTTTCTCACTCTTAAAGGTAAAGAATGTAAAGGAATTGTGATGTGATATAATCTATTTAATTCAGAACCAGAAAAGTGGAGCCTTAAGAGCACAAGAAAAAAATATCCCAACACACCAATAGGAAATTCTTAAAGAAGAATTCAATTCTGTTCAATTATCCCACAAAAGCCTCTGTAGCTCCTACTACATAGCTAATACTGATATCACAGAGGGAGAGAATAGCAAAGGTAATCATTGGCTGAGTATCAAGTTGTCTTGCCTGTTTAATCCTTTAAAAATTTGAAAAGGCAGGAAATACTCTTGTCTCTCCATCATATCTGTTTTAGTTCTGACAGACCTGCCTGTAAGCAGATAGCCTTCCTCCAAAGTGAGGGCTTAAATATGATAGAGATACCTAAAATACATGTTCATCTCATGTCCCCCTGACAAAGGTCTGTGAAGGTTTTTATGTTGTGGAACAAAAGGGAAGATATGATCTGAAGAAAAGCACAATAGTCCAAATCTCTGCAAATTCAGATCTTTGTGGTAATCAAACAACCTTTCCAACCCGGCTGTTTCCTTGTGCACCCTGTGCAAGGTTAGATATCCCCAAACCAGCACACTAACATCTACTTTGCACCCTTATAGTTTGCACAGCTTAGAATGGAAGCAACTTACAACATACAAGTGCTTGGTGTGTCTCACTAGGAAAAAAATGCAAGTTTTTCCAACAGAATGAAACCAGCCCATTTGTATACCCTATGCTAATATGCTTCTTTCAGGATCTGATATATTCAGCTAAAAACCACATCCACCACTAAGGGCTGTGCAGCAAAATCTCTCTGTGAGCAATAGCCTGCCAGCTGCTGGCATTTCAGGGCTCTCAGTGGCATAAGCTGAGTAGCACATATTTGTGCAAGGGAAACAAATCAAAAAACCTTTTCAATTTACTCATTTTATCCTTCTTGGTAGCTCCTCAATGCCTCTGCTTTACTAACTAAATTGTTTGTTTAATAAAAGGTATTATTTCTTTTTACAAACCCTGCCTAACAGTTTGTAACAAATTTCGTTCTTTAAGATTAATTCAATAGTATTAGTCTTTCAACTATATACCTGATTCTCATACCTGCTTCAGGAAGAATCTAGAGATTTAACAAATTTTAAAATAATGAATTTATTTGTTCTCTCTGCACTGCTTACAACAGCCTCATCTTTTATTTCAGGAGAGATGTTACTGGATCACAACAAAAGTTTCCTATAGTGCCCTAAAGAGACAGGTCATAGCACAATTCTTAGTTACATTTCAAAAATGTTTCCTTGTCCTGTCTTAGCCCTATTTTCTAAAGAAATGTCTCCCACGTACCCTCAGGATTTTCAAGTTTTAAGTACCTCGAAATGCCTCTGAGGATAGTGGCCAGCTTGAAAACAGTGAATTTCATTCACATTCTCTGCTTCTGCAATTTCTGATTGAAATGTCCTGGTCCTGTATTTGTATAAGTTGCCCTGAAATAGTAAGACTAGTAAGGGAGGTATCATTGCTAATCTTCTCCTCCTACATAATAAAACATGGAAGTGATTTCACCAAAGCCTTGGAAAAATGGACCTTGTGAAAATGGTCTCTCATGCACTGTATACATTATGATTTGCAGCTCCTGCAGCACAAACAAAACTTAAACTGGATGTATGTGTTCTCAGAGAGAAATTTTCCTCAGTGATCATTCAAGGATTTCCTAACTACACACATGTAAGAACAAATGCCAATATGACAGCACCATCACCATCAAAGCTATACTGGCAACATTTCATCATTCATATTTGATTCTCATGCTGCCTCCCTGCTTTGCATATTTTGTAGATATGCACTATTCAAAGATTTTTTTAATATCCAAAACTAATATTTGGTGAGCTTAGCAGTATTACAGCAGTGTAAGACTAATTACTTTTAAATAGGATTACAAATCATGGAGATTTTTTTAATTCTTTATTGCCAAGTAGTAGAGACATTTTGTTAATGAATTGCTGGCTTGTCTCCTTTTATTTATGATACCCACTATCTCAACTATATAATGGATTTGGGTGGCAGAGGTTAAGCATCATAGGTCACAGAATTTTAATTTCAAGTAGGTAGTAGACAACAGTATACTGAATTATGAAGAGATGGTGTTCAATAAACATTCAGTGAAAGATGTGAGAACACAAAGACAAGAGAATAATTCTAATTTAAATCAGCACTAGCTGGTGAAAATCAGCCATTTACAAGAGGTTATGTTTTTTCTCAATACAAAGATATATCTCTTGTTAGTATTTTAGGGTGAGAGGGGAGTGGAGGGAGAACTGAGAACAATAAGAGATGCAGCTATCAGTGTCACCAGTTCAGTCAAAGCCCCTGTTCAGCACACAGCAGTGACCTCAAATGTTAAACTAAGAAATAGAAAAGAGCAAGAGCCCAGTGCTACGGTGTGAATCATCACACATCCTTAAGAAAGCTTAATTATGTCAACCTGTTTTCAAAAGGTTGGTAGAAATGGAGATGGAGAGCTCAGAGATGGCCATAAGAACTATCAAAGAACAAAAATATTTAATGGAGAGAGAGTGCAAAAATGAAATCACCTATCTTACAAATGGAATAGAAAAGCAGAGAATAACACTGGGAAGGTAGATAAGCCTATTCATATCCTTTTGCAATACAGGAATTAAGTTTAAAAATCAACTTAGATAAATTAAAATTAAGCAAGTGTCAATGTAACAGCAATTAAAAAAATCAAACCAACACCAAGAACACAGATCGTTTCATACTGTCAAAATCTGTATGTGGATTTCATTGCTACAAGATGCTTTGCAGCATTCAGCTAACTGCTGGCCAATATTGAAGTCACAAAATAAAAAGTACTAGAACAGAGGATGCTTGTACAGAAATTAAAGTTCTGAAATTAACACAAACTGTGACGCTCCCTGATACGAAACAACCTCCATGTACTGTAGGAACCGCTTTTGAAAGATTGTTGCTTTGCAGAAACCTAATGTAGAGCTTTTCCTAAAACTTTCTGAAGTAAACAGTCAAGGCTGCTGCTGGCTATCAGAGCTGGTAAACTACTTCTAAAATCCAGTTACAAGGTTTTTCAATTTAGCCAATTGTGTGAACTTTTAATGAAAAATTACTTTCTAGCTGTTAAAATTCTTGGCGTAGAATTTAGGCTGTGGAAGAGGGAAGCTACAGGCTGCAACTTACTTTAGAATAGAACCTACATGGAAAAAAGGAATCTGTCAACCTTCCTCTGTAGAGGACTGGCACAGGCAAATGTGGGCTCTTTGGTATGGTTTTTACATCAGAACCGAACACCTAAGATATTCTTTTCCAGTGTGTACGCACCTCCTTGTTGCCCCAGTCACTGTATCTTTTGGAAGAAGCTAAATGCCAACGAGCATAATTGGTTTTTAGGACAGCAGGTGCAAATTTTTAAAAAGCAAACGTTTGAAAGTAAATTTTCCTTCAAACAAAACATTATTTGTCAGAAATGAAATTGACCTATTCTGGGACTGTCCTAGAATAAAGATAAAACCTTAGGAAGCTATAATTACTGCACCTTCTCTGGTCTGGTAAAACTCTGCTGAACCCAGGGATGTTGCACTGTCACTTTGAAAAAATCAGCTCAAATCTACCTGTGGTATAAAGCAGTTTAAAGACATATGTTCCAAATATTAAAGCAGCTGGAAATGCCCTGTTTACTTGCACAGAGCCGTGGTAAACGGTGACAGTTTAGGTCCGGCTTTGCTTTGACACCCTGGCTCCCGAGTGGCAGCAAGGAGTTACCCAGAGGGACAACCAGGCATCCGGGCAGCAGCTCACCCTGCTCCGGCGGGCTCCTTCGAACAGAGGGGCTGCGGGCCGGCACTCGCCTCGCTCCCTGCTCCGAGCACGGCTCATTTCCAGGGACCCGGAGGAGGCAGGAGAGCGCCGGTGGCACCGCTCAGTGCGGGTGCCCCGCGCCGGGCTGCGGGCAGCGGCGGGAGGCCGGGGCAGGGCTCGGGGCGCCGGGCTCTCTCACCTGTCGATACTTATCACACAGAGGGTCATGATGGAGGCCGTGCAGCACATGACATCCATGGCGATGAAGACGTTGCAGAAGAGGCGCCCGAAGATCCACTCCCCGCCGATAAGGTCTGTGACGCTGACGAAGGGCATGACGGCCAGGGCCACCGAGAGATCGGCCAGGGCCAGCGAGACGATGAGATAGTTGGAGGGCTGCCGCAGCTTCTTCACGAAGCACACGGAGATCACCACCAGGCAATTGCCGGCGATGGTCAGCAGGGTGATGAGGCAGAGCACGGCCCCGATGAGAACTTTCTCGGCGCTACCGTAGCTGAGGATCTGCTCCCCGCACTGGGAGTCGTTGGCGGGGAGGGGGCTCGCCGTGGGCAGCGCCGACGGGGGGGGCGACGGGCCGAGCTTGGCCAGGCTGCGCGGGGGCCAGGAGCCGGCGATCATCCTGCCGCCGCCCAGCGCCCGCGGCTCCTCCAGCGCCAGCGGCCGCAGCGGGTTACCGGAGAGGTGGCTGCCGTTGAGGGCGAGCACCATGCTGCCGTGAGCAGCCCATGGAGCCTCGCCGCCCGCTCTCCGGCTGGCCCCGGCTCCGGGATGCTCGGGCTCCTCCTCGGGCGCCCGGCGCCGCCCGCCCCCTTGCAGCCGGCCGAGCGGCCCGCGGGGGCCCAGCCCGCAACTTCCCCCGGGGCAGCCGCGCTCGCCCGCCCGCCGCGCATCCCGGGCGGGCACGGCGCTATCGCCCCCAGCCCGCGGGCACCGGGGCGGGCGGGGGCGGCGGCCGCTCCCTCCCGCCCGCGCCCAGCGCCCGCTCCCGCCCGCGGCTGCTTCCCGAAGGCGACAGGCTCCGGGATGGGAACCGCTCCGCCTCCCTCTCCCTCCTGCCCTCTGAGCTGCCGGTGGGGGTACGCCCCTTCCCCGCAGTCCGGGAGCCGGTTCCTCCTGCCGCTTCTCGTTCGCGGCTGCCCCAAGCCAGGGGCGCTCTGGGATCCCCCAGTATCTGTGTATCTGTATATATGTGTTATATGAACACAGGTCTCACCCGGGAAACTGCGGGATGGTGGCCCGTCCGGAGCGGGGTCGGAGCCTCTCGGTTTGCCGGCTCCGGCACAGCCCTGTGGCACGTCCCATGTATGTAAGCATTTCTCTGTGTATCCAAGCTTGCAGATTCTTCTTCATAATAAGTTGTTCTGAGTACCATCACCTGTAGTTTTTCTTTTATTAATATTTTGATACTCTGGTTTTGAATTTACTCAGTGCTCCATGTGTAATTCCTTCTGTAAAGCTAAAACCAACAAACTCCTATTGCTTGAATTACCTGCTTTTCTTGTAGGTTCCCTGGACTCTTAGATACAAGCCAATTTCTGGGGCTCACTAGCTTTCTCAATTCATTAAGTCCTATTCTTGCCTCAGAGTGGGGTGAAAATTAACTGTTTGCCTTGTGAGCTACACACGGGATGCCAGCAGAAGATCACACCCCTTAATATAGTAACATGCCAGACAGTAAGGACTAAAGCCAAGAAAAACACCTGCTCCTGAGTGTCCCTCACATTTTCAACATGGGACAGAAGCCAGGTGAACTAGAGAAGGAGAGGAAATGAAAAGCATTGATCCCAGATGTATCAGTAACTGAGGTTTAAATGAGGGGAGCTCTTGCAACAACACAGAAAGTTTTATTGAAGTATGCATGGGACAGGGAAGAGCTGTGTGGCTCAGTAGTAAGAAAGTCTGCAGGATGCTTGCACATTATACCAACTTTAAAATCTGCTTTGAAGACAAACCTAATAAGTATCCAGTTATTGGAAAAAAAAATAAACTCAGCCGACAGTCCTACAGACTAGTGAAACACAAATCCATAGCAACTGAGGCTTCCATACTTGACTCACAGAACACAGACTGAGCACAGGCAGAGCCCCCTGTTGTCAGAAATGCAGGGTTTGGTTGTTCAATTGCTGCTCTTCCCTACCACCCCCACATCCTGATTGACTAAGATAATAAAACAAGCAATGATAAGTTGCTTCTTGGGCAGATCCTTGACCATTACCAAGTTGAAAGCATTTTTCTGTTCAATCAAGTGTTTTGCCACACTGTGTTAGTTGCTTTATTGCGTCCAATCACAACAAAAGCAATGAAAACACGAAATAAAAATCCTTGTTTAACCACCCAAAATGTGTTCATGAACCTTGAGCTTCAGGTGAGTTACCCCACCTGGTAATAAATGAAGTATTTTGTCCTCTTTAGTTAAGCAAAAATTAGGAAGAAAAAGGTCTTTGGAAATTGCAAGGATATATCTAAATTAAAACATTAAGGCAAAACTTGGAGAGAGAATGCTTCCTTATTGGTTGGACATGTTTTTCAAAAATAGTGTCTGAAGCATAGCTAGGGAGTTAGGAACTTAGTAAATTTTGTTCAAAATAGATTCTTATCACAAAAGCTGATAAAATTGTACAGTTTAATACTCCCATTAAAAGCAATTTTTCAGTTGCTTAAAATGTCACTAAGGCAGAACAAATTATAATCTGGTGCTTCCTGCAAATGCGTTAACACAGTTCATTAAATCAGTCATTCTTCTTGACAGCTTTTCAATACACTTCTGGGATGTGACTCTCTAAATGTTCTCAGTGGATGATACACAGGATCATTTGGTAGGGTAGGGATCACTCCTACCCATTCCAACCCAAAAGTAGGACTGAACCTTGTCTTTTGTTCTGTATCTTAAATTCCCTTACAGTTCATTCCAAGTTAATCACCTGATTTCTTTCCTTCTCAAAGGCCACAGTACCACTCTTTGAATTTGCTGTTGTGATCTTAACTTTGAAGAAACAAAGCAATTTAAATCAATTTATGTACCATTACAGAAAGGGATTTATGTACTATTGCAGAGATGTGAAAAACCCTGGCAAGACAAAGCAGCTGACACCTCTCTAAAATATGCCCCTTGAAAGCTTTTTACTAGGACACACCTAAAATAACTTCCAGTTTCCCAGGGTGGGCTGAATCTGGTGAGGTGCTTTTTGTGAGGGTTTAGAGGGTTTCACACGGCCAGTTCCTGGAAAAGCATAGAAAATAAATCATTCCATGAGATGACATCTATTCTAGGTACTTAAAATAACAACAAAGGAAAGTAGGACTCCATCTTTTCAAGGGTACATCCCATTTTTGTCTTCAGCGATCCTATCTAAAAATTCTAACACATTGTTCCAGACAGAATACAGAAGTGAAACAAATGTCCAATTAGGTGTCAAGAATAACAAGCTGACATTTGTTCTCTACCCAAGAAATTACTTTTTCACCTTCCATTAGGCTTCAAAAATATAATCAAATCATTTTCCTGGCTGGGCTTAGTAAAATCCTGTCCTTTGAGTAATTTAGGCTCTCTATGCATAAAAGCCTCTTAACATTTACATATACCTCCAATTGTGTGCTAAATCCTTTGTCCCCCATTCTTTCTGCACTTAGTGAAGTTAAACTATTTTGTTAATATTTGATAATGTGCTTCATTTACAAATCTCACCTTTGGTATTTTATTATTGTTATATAGAAAAAATTCAGATTATAAAAAGAAAAAAAATGCAAGAGAAGTTTTTTACTTTGATTTTTTCCCTCTTCCGAAGTAGTTAATTTTGTTTAATTTTCTCTGTTTAACTTTTTCTCCTCCTCCAGAAACAGTTCCAATCACATAACATCTTCAGCATTTGTTATTGATACTAAGTGTATATTACAGCAGAGGCCTTTGCTATCAATTCTTTGCTGCCACGTTAGTGAGATAAGGTAAGACAGGTCATTAAGGCTATACAGTTTCCCAAGCACATTTTGATTTATTGGGGCCAGACTATATCTATCAGTGTTTCTGTTGAAAAACCCTGCATTAAATCCTGGATCCTTCATCCCTCCCTGGAGGACTTGATGCTTGCAGAGAGCAGGTCTGTGCAAACTTGGAGGATCCTGACTGAAATGGGTCAAGGAATGCAGTGCAAGAGCTTCAGCAGCAGAGGAGAAAACGCTGACAGCCCAGCATGGTAACACCTTCCCTCACACAGCTGCCTCTAGAAAACAATAGCCCTGCTCATCTTAGCCTAAAAAGTTGAAGGCACTGCTACATTCCCCTTCTTAAGCCATTCAATACTGTACACATGGCAGGAAGGTAACATGAGTATGCAATGCAACAAATAACAATAACAATAACAATAATCAGATCGGAAACTTTTCTTGTTCTTTTGTTCTTTATTATCCCCTCTTTTGTCCTTCCTTGCCTGAGAGATCTTAGCTCCTTAAACTGTTGTTTTCATTTGTCTGTCATTCCTCTCCTCTCTCCTCTCCTCTCCTCTCCTCCTTTTCTTTTTTTTTCTAGAGGTATTACTGAAATCTTGATTTTAATTCCCAGCATGTACTGTTTAGCAACTAACACTTGTCTAATTTCTAGCAAATTTGTTGCAGCTGCACTTTTCTTTTCTGCCTTTTCTTGTCTTTGTGAAGATAAATCATCATCACGCTGTGGCAGGAAAACAGAGAGGTAACTATTCCCATATTTGGCCATTTCTTACCATTGTCAAATAAATACTTTCATCTGTGCAACTTAAATATGAAATTATGTCTTCCCTTTTTTGAAACCAGCAAATACTAACAACAGCAAGCTGGCATTTGAAAAGAAAATTAACAATTAAGATGACATTTATGCTTAAAATTCTTTATCACTCAAAATGAGAGCTCCCAACTCTGAAAACTCCATCTGTACCTTTACACTGGAGTTTATGGAGGTTATGAGGTTATGATAAAAGTGACTGTGACATTCATGTTACTGAGTTGCTGGGGTCAATAGTACTAAATAAAATCTTAGCACCCAAAAAGGGCCAAATGCAGAACTAACTTTAACAGTTGCTACCATGGGCTGCCCATTGAAAATGTATTAGAAGAATTGTGACAGTTTCTGCATTAGAATTTACAGAAATGACTGTCTTGAGGTCTAAGTGTACTGAGGAAGAAATGCTCGGAGTGAGGAGATCTGTTTTCACCATGGAGAACTTCAGGGCAGCAATGAAACAAAGCATGTTAGAAGCTTGCAGCTTAACAGTGAGGACCATAAGGAAGCTCTCCCCAGACCACTGGGGCTGGCGTAAATAAAAGCAGTAATAATAATAACATAGGAAAGAATGCTGTGCACTGTTCTGAGTACATGATTCGTGATTCCTGCTGCTAAAAGTGCTTCATACTCGGATTCTTACACCATTACAGCAAATAGAGTTCTGCAGAGATTCTGCATGAAGATCTTTTTAAATGTCCTCCATTTTAAGCTCTTCAAGGAAAGGTTTCTTTTGCTTGTATATTGCCAAACACGAAGGCTGCTTAATCTTCTTTGATATCTCTGAACGCTGCTGCAGTAGGACTGTTCAGAAATAACTGATACATGCTTCTGGATCGCTTTTTACATTCATTAAGACAAATCAAGTTGCATCAAACACTGAGCCAAAGAAAACCTGGAATAATATCTCAAGCTGCTCCATTTTCACACACATCGAAGAAAAACCTTGGCAATACCATTCAGGCTGTGCTCTTGCTTCAAATGGCTGGCAGAGAAGCAGTATTGGCTGATGTGATGTAACAGGCAAGCAACTTACAGATGCAGATGGACTCAAAGAGAGCTTCTTTACT